GGCTCACGCTCTGAGGATTTTTTTGATGAAACAACATCGCAACCATGCTTCGCGGTTGTGGTATAAGCTCGTTGTATTCGCTACACACTTCCAATGCAGTACAATAACCAGTGTACTTGAGAATTAGACAGCACGTAGAAATGCTGGGGCTGTCGTAGTTGACTTTCATATGTAAAACATTATAAATACGCCATGAATTTATATGTACGCTTTGTTTGACTGACGAGATGAACTCACGCATTCGGTTGTGCAAAGCACGTATACACTATTTTTTCGCTTGCAATTCCGACAACTTTTTTTATTGTGAAGCAAATAAAAGAGAAAAAAATTTTTGCCGAAAAAAAAAGATTGTGCACCAGCTCTGGTAATTTCAACGCACTTGGTTTTTACTTGTTGTTGTGTGCGCAATCAGACAACCCTGAAATGCTTGATGACAGGACATATGAATTTTCACGTCAGAGGGATCACAATAACTCGAAAATTCCCACAAGCTCATAACAACGTGTGGAACACACCATTCCATCGATACAGGTTTCAATGACATATCAGTGATGATGATGAGATGGAACCACCAATGTCTATATGCTCCCTTTGGGAAAACAACCCGCTTACAACAATGCCACTGTGCCGCATTATCAGTTATATCAAACAAGAGTGGCTTTTGTGTGTTCGTTCTAAATGAAGGTGGGGGGGGGGCAGTGCGCGTGGCTTGTAATCCTCGAAAAGGAAGAAGAAAACGAGAATTGTTTGCGTCCCAATACCCCTATGTCATTATGAGGGACTCCGTGTGGTATCGGCCTCTAGAAATTTCACTATCTGCCATTTAAAAGGATAGCAAATAAAATTATGAAAAATTGACGAAAACATGGAAATTCTGTTAGTAAGGCGTGAATGTTCCTCTAATCGAAGTTCACGTATATTTGAGTAATTTGGTTGTATTTTTGGTAGATTATCATGGCGTGGTGGCAGCGCATGACTCTTTCCGTCACAATATCCGAGGCGCTAGCAGAGTGCAGGTGTTCAGACCCTTCCCTTGCCTTTTTCCACCTCTCCTTTCATCCTACTGTTTCCTTACACAAAAGCGCTGACGCTTTAGCTCCAAGCCAGTAGCATTACTCGCTGCCAGTACCGTTCGTAGTGGGGTCATTCCACACCGACCAAACCAGCTATTTTGGGGTGTGTTTCAAAACTCACCGTAGACGACTAAATAGACAACTAAACGAACGGCGGCCATGTTAAGTCCCATACCAGTTTTCCCGTAGCCAGTGAAATGGACAGCTTCGAGAAGACCGAATCGCAGACAAATACGGTTCAGGCTACTCTGCGGTCCAAACAAGATGGCGGCTAAGCGAATCACTCAAATAAATCAAACCTCGCCGGAAATATCATCTGCATACAAGCAGACGCTTTCCCAGACGTTCAATGTGAGTAACATTTATTTGTTTTTGATTTCAACACGATGTAAGGCATAAACACTGTTGTTACGTTTGTTTAGTTAACATTTTTTTTCTCGACTAGAGGTGGCGCATCGTCGCGTTAAAGCCGTCCAGAAGTGTTAGAATTCTCGGACAGCGTCGGATCAATGCTGCCTTCTAAGCAGTCTATGTAGACTGTCTATGTGCTGTCTAAGAATTGGAAGACAGCCTTGGCGACCACCTCAATTCGATTGGAAAAATTATCCTGCTGATTTACTGCATTGAAAGCAGTGAATCACTAGAATATCTTAAGAAGAAAAATTGTGGTTACGTGAGTGCTTTTGGAATTTGTCCAAATGTTGCATGGCTTTGTTCACGAAAAAAATTCATTTTTAAAGTGTCACTCTCTCTTTCAATACCAAATTCATTTTATAAAATAAGGAGTGGTGAGTGTGAAATGTGTTTTAAGCTAGTCATTATTAGCGCAAGTTTTAGGCCGCATACACCTACAAGAACTTAGCCGAAAAGGATTATGTTTGCAGTATTTCTATTGCAATACTGCTCTTTTAATGAATACCTGAGAAATGATTAATCAGCTTATAGCAGATGTATTTAAAGAAATACCTTTGCACCCCTCAAGTTGCAAAACTTCACGAGAAGAAAATCACAAATTTTCCAAAATCATCCGCTTTGCCCACATTGAGGCCAATTTGCACCACGTGGTGTTCTAATAAAAGATAACCTTTATATCCAACTAGAAAGCAATAGGCAGTTCTTTCGACATCCCAAGTTTTATAACGACAATTCGTTTTCATGGAAGAAAATAATTTTTGAAGTTTCCAATTTGGCGCCCCTTCCCATTTGGTTATATGGCAGCTTCCCGCTTGTTCCCCATGGCCCCTGCATTTTTCAAGACAGACAGGGCGTTTCCTCTCTGCCCGAGTATATATTGACGACATGCCTCGAACACGGGTGATGTTATCGCTTGCGCTCTTCTGCGACTGAGATGGGTCTGTTTGCTTCCCCTTTTCTTCAACGGCGTTTGTGTGTTCGCTTGCATTCATATACCCGCGGCTAGAACACACAATTTCCGGGGAGCTGTTATCGATTTGGACTTCATATGATGTGTGGTGGCGATGCCAATATCGGAAACACTCAAGAGTAGTCTTATGACAGTAAAAAGATTAAAGTGGTACTGTGAAAAAACGAATGTTACTTACACGCACCCAGGCTCTCTGTCAACACATCGTGCCCCCCAAAAAAGTGGCCTGGTAGTGGCATTTTGGCTAGAAAGTAACTAATCAAAGCAGCCAACTTCTAGACTTTTCCATAAAACCCACTGAAGAAGAATATTGTCTTCGTACCCACAATAACAGCACTAGGTCCGTTGGCACCCACGGCCATTTTCTCTTTCTTCCCACTAACTGAGAGGCACCCGTGAGCTTTACGTTGATCTTTACCGTGCCTCTGACGGACAGTTCTTACAGTGTGCAGCTATTTCATCGATGATTACTTCTCCAATAAACAGCCCCACGTGACACTTCTCTCTATCGCAGGTCAAAGTATCGTAGGACGGAGAGCCACTCAATTGTTGCGAATAAAAAAAGATAAAAAGGGTACGCGGAGACACGATAGTGTCGTTCGATGTACGTGGTACATTCAAGTGCACACCTGTTATATCAAACAAGCGAGTAAAATATGGTCACTATTTCAAATTTTAGAAACAATTTAGACAACAGTTCGTGTGCAGTTAACAAAAACCGTCAGTGCCACGAAATAAAGACGAACCACGACACTCTAACGCACGGCTTCGTGCAAAAGCGTTAGCCGACGCGATGGCGTGGCGTAAAGAAGCCGTCTGAAAAAGGCAAATGAATACAGCCCAAGAAAGATGTTCATTATGCTCTCGAAGTGCTGTTACTTATTCTGAAAAAGAAGGACCTGAAAATACTGCACACTCTTTGAGCACAAAGTCAATGCTGCGAATATACTGCATCAAAAGAGGCGGACTGCATCGTGTCACTGTATATTAAAACAATTGACCCTAAATGACTTGAACGTTGTCAGGACATCTCTTAGACGCATTTTCTAAAAAAACCTGCCGAAAGTCGAAATTCACCGCGTAAAAACTAAAGAGGAACAAAAAAACCGCAGCCGAAAGCTTAATTTCTATATAAAAAGCAAGCTACTCGCATGCCAGATTGGTTGCCATACTAGAAATGGTCGCCCGCAAGTAAAACGGCAGCGTCAACGAAAAAAAAAGTCTTTGAATTTAGTCTATCATCAGGTGATGCTGCTGCCTGCCCTTCGTCCTGCGGAAAGTACGTTCGAGCTCCGCCTTTTACTCAGGTCACCTTTTCTAAACGAAAAGAATGGAGTCGTGCCACACCTTCGCCAGTCTATGCTAAATGTGCGTAGAAAGGTGTTATTCTGTCTTTTGCACAGTAGGCTTCCGCCGAGTCACCCACACGTCAAATTCGTGCGTCAATGGCTCGTTGGTCTAATGCAGTGGGTTCAAACAAAGGCAGCTGGCGCGATGTCTCTCCGACGCTGTTTACCGGAATGACTGCTTTGTGTTGCGACATGCACGATCCCGTTGACGGCTTCCGTCACCGCTGCTTCATCCGTGGCTTGAAGGACTGACGCCATTTCGAGCGCTAGCACGGGTGTCCCGTTTAGGCCGCTGGTCGAGGCGCTTTCGGGTACACCTCACCTTGTGCTGCCTTTTCCGCCGTAGACGCTTCACCACTTCTCAGGTTCTTTTCTTGTCAAAGCCGTTGAAGATCCTCCGGTGCACGTTACAAGCCTGGTTGGCCTGTATGGTTGGGAGTACGCTATGCCAATTCTGAATTTTAGATACAAGGATAAGAATTCGAGCGACGCGAGGTAAAGACTGAAAAAAACAACGAGAACTTCATCGAACGGCATTTGTTTAGTTAAAAAAAACTGCTCGAGAGAGAAGCATTTGGCGTCTATCCAGTTGCACAGCTGTGTCTTTTTGCCTTCTCCTGGAACCTGCGCACATTCGTATACCCGCGCAACAAAGGTGGTTCACTTCAGTGTCACAAGACCGCTCGGTCTTTCCGGCAGCTCGGCTTGTGCTGTGGTTGTGGCCTCGCGTCACCGTTCGCGATCCGCTTTTCACAATAAATGTGGGTACACATGAAAACAGGTACTTTGACACGTTAATTAAATATTATGTGGCGAATGCTTCCCCTCACTGGATAGTTTACGGAAAATTTTTGATAAGATCGTAAGAACAGACATATACGATGTCATTTGTTCAGTGGGAATGAACCTTCTTATTTCAAGACCGTCCAGACAGTTGCAGACACGTTATATAAAAATTTTATTTACACCATGGTCGCAGAGCAGGCGACCAAGAGCTTAAAGAGCGAGATCAATGGCCACAGGTTAAACAATAGCTGGCACGCGTGCTCCTGGAGGGAGGTCCAAATTATACGTATGCCAAATATTTAGGTGTTAGCATTTCTACGTAAGCATTTCTGCGCTAGGACGACTTAGAGTGACAGTACCGTACCTTCAATACGTGAACGCTAATTGATGTAGTATACAAGCACATACCTTGTGGATGAGCTTCTTGAAGCTTCCCGATGCGTAGCAGAGTAGAGGCTTCTGTGCATCAAAGGGAATGTCTGTCATCTCGTCAATGGCCAAGTGGCGGCGTTGGTCATCCAGGTCGGGCGCGTTGCCCTTCTGCGTGTCCTCCGTCAGAAGCTCAGCGATGCTGGCTATGTCAGAAAGGTCGGTTCGGTTGGGCAGCATCTGCCAGTCAAATTGCTCGAAGAAGGGGTGCGCCTTCAGGTCGCTGTAATTGCGCGACCCCAGCCGCTCCACGGGGTTCTTCTTTAGCAGGCGATATATGATGTCCTTGGCAGGAGCCGTTGCCGAGTGTGGGTGGTCCTCCGACCGGGGAAACTTCAGCGGAGCTTTGATGATACGCTCGCGCAACGCCTGCTTCGTCTTGCCGCGAAAAGGCACCCGACCCGTCGTGAGCTTGTAGAAGACAACGCCCGCTGACCACCAATCCGCGGCGCGACCTGCGCGGTATATATGCGCCGAGTTCAGAGCGGTAGTTTCACTGGTGAGCGCAATGCATCTTGGAAACTACCGCGTACAGCTTCTTACACCGTGCTTTTCCACTGGATTCGGTACCACGCTGACGATACCCAAGCATGCCTTAAGATGGTGGTCAACGCGTGGGGTCACTGCCGTCCCAGAGTACGTTGCAAAAACTCTCCATAATGCCGCAACTCAGACAGTTCAATTTTTTAATCTTTTTGAACGTTAGGAGCTACATTTTAGATGGCAAGTTTAGCTTGCATCTATTATTTAGTGGCTTTTTTGTGAGTGGTTTGGTTGACTGATATATTATGTGGGGGTTTAACGTCCTAAAACCACCATATCATTCTGAAGGACGCCATAATGGAGGGCTCCGCAAATTTTGACCACCTGGGGTTCTTTAACGTGCACCCAAATCTGACCACACGGGCCTACAACATTTCAACCTCTATCAGTAATGCAGCCGCCGCGGCCCAGATCTGATCCCGCGACCTGCGGGTCAGCAGCCAAGTACCTTAGCTACTAGACCACCGTGGCGGGGCTTCTCGTTTGGTGCACTGGCCCACTTTCGTCGCTTGCCATTGAGCTATACAATAAGAATACTGCACAACATTTAGGACTCGCTTAAGGCGCTCTATTTGATAACATATCGCCACGTTACTTTGCTCAAGTTTTGTTATCACCCCGTTATACTACGTTCAGCGCTAACCGCGTCTACGATGTTCGAGAAGGTTCGAGGCTTTAGTATATCGTTTCGTTAAGATTACACCTACTTTGGGAACGCCACAGATTATTCGGGAACCTACGTCGGCGCTAGCGAAAACGCTAGCATGTTTGATGGCAAGAGTATAAATGCCAACACTCTTCCCCGCTTGTCACTTTATTAACGGCTGATGCTCCGTTCGCTGCTATGAGTGCAAAACTGCTACTGTAATCTGAACTTCAACTTACTGAGTACAGATTCACCGAAGTGAACAATTTATTATTCGACTCGCAGTGTGCTCCATTCGTCCACGCCACGACCCCGTGATATCTGATGCAGGTGCTGTTTCTTTCATGTACGCGAAGCCCCCGTCAAGCCGTGAACCCAGCCCATGCCACGAAGATAACACTGACGCCAGCAACGAGCAGCGACTCAGCCACAGACAAGAAGGTCTGCCACCGGAGTACGGGCTTTCCCGGACAAGACTCGAAAAACCAAGACCATGACATCGACCGCAGCAACGATGACAACTGCTGCACCACAGCCCGTGATATTGATGGAGCAGCCAAGAAACCACGGATTTCCCGTGGGTCTTTGTTTGAAGATCCAGAGACCTGGCTTGAGATATGCGACCGGTTGGCCGCCCTGAACCACTGGGACACAGAATAATAGCTACGCCGTGTCTACTTTTATTTAGAGTACGTGGCTAAGACCTGGTTTGAGAATCCGGAGTCTGCCCTTCAAACATGGGACCTCTTCCGCGGCGTATGCCTGGATACGTTCAGAGCAACGCCCGCAGTGAAAGTGCTGCGAAGTTGCCGGAAAATGATTTTCACTCTCGAATAAAACTGTAACAATCTTAGTAGAATAAATGACGCGACTTTTCTACCACACTTACCCCGAAATGCTCGAGGAGAAAAAACTGTTTTCTCATGCGAGAGGTCGAACAAGAACTCTTCGCTGCACTGATCTGAAAACTCCCGAATACCATCCAGGGATTCCTGTCCGAAGCAAGATCAACCAAGAAGATGATGGAAATGCGACCTCCCTCCCCCCACTACAATCGGTGAGCGATGGAAAACAACCCAGCTATTCATGCTCTCGGCTCTGACGGCCTTCGTGAAACGATACGAGTGATCTATCAGAAAGAGCGTAAATTGTTGCCGGCCTTACAGCACCGCGTCCACTTGCTCGCCGACGTTGTACCCTAGTGGACACCCGAACCAGCGCAGCCTAAGCCACAAGCCCTGAGTTATGCTGCTGCTACCCGCCGTCACGCCTTCCCTCGAAATCCACGCCTAAACGCCGCCCCGTCACACTTCCTTCGCCAGACGCCACCGCCGCCACCACCACCACCGACGTCCTACCGTTCATCAGCGGGCAAGAGCAGCGCACTGAGGAAACTGACTTTTGGAGGGCACCTGACAACCGCCCGCTCTGCTACGACTGCGGCGACGCCGGGCACACCTACCGTCATTGCCAGTACCGACAGAACGGTCTACCGGGCTTCGACATCCACGCGCCGTGCCCACAACGGGGTGAACGACCGCATCACATCAGCGACTACCTCGTTGGAGCGCAGTCGACACCCCGACGACTTTATTGTTCACCGTCGCCAGGCCGCTACGCCTCACCACACCACGGGCAGTACACCGGCCTGTTCAGGACCGATCTCTCAGCCCTTCCTCGGAAAACTAATGGCAACTACCGATGGAGGTGCGATTGCTGTACGACGAACTACCGAATATTCTCCGCCGCCGCCGCTGACGCCGCCACGAAATTGAAAACACTCGCCGCAAGACAAAGAGGGTCTTGACGTGAAACCTTCGCAGCCTGCAGAAGACAATACGATGCAACGTGGAAGCAGCAAAGCATATAGATGTAGCCGTGACCCGAAGACACGAACCCAACCACAACGCACGTTGACAAACCAGCAATTTTGACGTATTATTTAACAGCCACCTCTTCACAACACCGCTGAAGGTCATTTATTAACGCTTACCAGAGTCTGCACATCAAGAATAACTGTCGATAACCAGAATTATCATGCGAGCTTTATATTCTCACAGAATTGCTCTAAGGATGTCATACTTGGAATGGACTTTCTAAGTCAACACGGTGCTATCATTGACTAGAGGTCTGAGTCAATCACACTAACCTCAGAAAACACGCTGCTGACCCCTACAACGTCACGAAATCGCGCATTGCATGTGCGAGAACAGCACGTCACCGTGCAGTCTTTCTCCAGCATCGTTGTTGCCATTGGAACCGAAAAAGCCAAAACCTTTGGCGGCATCGTCGAGGGTGATAAGCATCTTTTTCTGACCCGTCAGGTTTGCTTCGCAAGAGTTATAGCTCACCTGCGTGACAGGAAAGCAAAGGTGGTGCTGACAAGAGTCAGTCAGGATAATAGGCACCTCAACCATGGTATGGTGTTCACCCGCACCGCCCAACTCGTGAAGGCCAGCAATTCGTTTGCCCTCTTCGATGCCGCCGATACTGCTTCGACGAATCAAGTTGCCGAACCAGATTTCGATGTCAACCCGAGCCTCTCGAAGTGCAAGGAAGACCTGCTCAAGTTCCTGTTCTTGCCATTTATGACTGCTTCTCGTCATCATCGCGAATTCGACAAACCCCAGTCGCGAAACATCGCATCATAACAGAAGAAAGCGCCCGACCAGTTCGAAAAAGCCCCTACCAAGTCTCGATGCGTGAGCGTGAACCCGGGAAGAAACAAGTCGACAAAATGCTATGCCACGACATCATTCAGCCATCCAAGAGTCCTTGGGCGTGACCCGTTGTATTAGTGAAGAAGAAAGACGAAAGCCTACGTTTTTGCGTCGATTACCGCCGCCTGAACAAAATCACAAAAAAGGACGTGTACCCTCTCCCACGTATAGATGACGCACTGGAACATCTCCACAATGCGAAATCATTTTCGTCGATGAACCTCAAAACGGGCTATTGGCAAGTTGAGGTTGACAAGAGAGATCGGCCTTAATCGCATCAGACGCCCTCTTCAAGTTCAAGGTCATGCCATTTGGTCTTTGCTCGGCGCCTGCGACGTTCCAGTGCCACTTCACGTACGAAGAGCTGTTGTTCCTAGGACACGTGGTAAGCAAGTCAGGAGTCTGTCCCAACCCACGGAGAAAACCCTCCATCGCTGATTTCCTGCACCCACTGACAAGAAGGCTGTACGCCGATTCCTCGGATTGTGCGCCTATTACAGGCGTTTCGTTAAACGTTTTTCACAGATCGCCGAGCCACTATGTCACCTCAAGAAAAGCAACGTCGTATTTAGGTGGGAAGTGGCACAAAAGGAAGCATTTTAGGCACTTAAACAGCGCCTTCAAACAACACCAATACTTGAGCATTTCGACGAATACGCCGAAACAATTACACACCGAAGCAAGCAGCGTAGGGCTCGCCGCCGTCCTTGTGCAAAGGACTGGCGGCGTGGAAAGGTCGTCACTTATGCTAGGCGGTCGCTGTTTAAGGCCGAGGCCAACTAATCCACAACAGAAAAGGAGTGCCTTGCCATCATCTAAGCAGTGTCAAATTATCACTCTATTTTTACGGCAGGCCTTTCGAAGTTGTGAGCGACCACCACGCCTTGTTTTGGCTAGCTAACTTGAAAGACCCATCGGGTCACCTTGCACGATGGAGCCTAAGGTTTCAAGAATTCGACGTGACCATCGTTTTCAAGTCTAGAAGAACACACTCTAACGCCGACTGCTTGCCTCGTGCCCCCGTCGAACCACAACTACCCGACAGCCTGGACGAGGACGCGTATTTGGAATTGCTGGCACCGCATCGCACGAAAGAGAGAATAGAAACAGTGCGAGGAGGACGCCAGGGCCAGCGTCAGGATTGCTCGCGCGCTATTGGTTCCTCTTTGTAGGGGACGTGCACGCCTGTAGGTGACGTGCTGGTGACGCACGCACGCGCCCGCGATAGAATGTGCGGAGTTTTTTCCGGCTGTTTTATTGTAGGGAAGCACCCACAACCTGCACAACCTGCCGCCACACTCTTTCTCTACCTTTCTCTTCTGCCTTTCTGCATCTCTCTTTCCCTCTCCCTGTAAGAGCTGAGCCGAACCGTGCTACCTGCAGGAGTTGTAGAAGACGTGACTTTTTTGTTTTGTTTTATGCAATCGACCACTGCATCATCATACGCTCCACTGCTAGCATGGTCGACGCTCATGTGCGAATTAAAGTTCGAAATTACCATCTAACGTTCAATCACATGGATCGCACTTCTGTCACACACTATATA